AGAAGCGATCGTCCTGGGATCGGATACCAGGAACCGGCGTGGGGGGGTGTAGGCCTGGCTCCCTCCATGTCGTCAACGGACGACAGGTCGTCTGCAGCTTTGCCGGCTGGGGCTGCAGACAAGACAGCGACAGTGCCGAGGAGTGAGGGACACGGTGTGTGAGCGATTACGGGACCTAGCTCATAGCTGGGATACTCGTGATCGAAGTGTTGATCCGAAGGAACTTGCTGCGCGTATTCGCCGAGTCCTTCTGGATAAAGTGGTTCGGTGCTATCAGGCCCATCATGTGTATAAGGACCTCGCGAAACACATGGACGTCTTTTTTCGGGAGTGTTCGCGACGGAACGGAGTTCTGTGCCAAACACGTTTGCGTACAGTTCTTCGAACCAGTCATTGCGGTTAGCACCGCAGAATCACTGACGGAGAAACAGTGGATGGGGAGAGTGATGGCTCTTCCCCTCTTCCCTCACCGGAAAAAGTGCGGGGTGATAGTGATGATGATGAGATGGAAGCTGCTGATCCGTCTTTCGTCACGCTACCCTCGTCAAGCTCCCCGGAGACCAGTGGGGCAGGACGAGACAGGGATGTTTCTTGGGCTCCCGAGGACAAGAGGGTCCTTGACAGGGAGGAAACAATACCCCAAGAAGACTACAGGTAAGTCCTTTACAGGAAAAAGAGGTCGCCCCATTACAACTGGGGAGTATGCTGGTTTGGCGGCTGAAAAGGAGCGTTTAAATGCTGCCATGAAGGAGTCGCTCAAATTAGAGTACGCGAAAAGAGTTTTAGACCCTTCTTTTGGTCCAACTCTGACTGCTGTTGGTCCGATGAATATTCCTTCGGACACAGCATTTGGGAGGAGCTGAAGGGGATTACCACTGTGGAGCTACGTAGGCTGGGAGAGAGGTTTGTCACCCAAGTCGAGAGGGTGGCCGGACTCCCTGGCCTTGGCGAGGTCATGGCTGAGGAGCTCCGGATCTCCTCGAGGAAACTTGGAGGAGTCATTAGTGAGGCCGTTTCTCGATCTACTGCGGAGGCTGATCCGAGGATGGATTCACTAAGAAGTGAAAACCAGGGTCTGAGAGTTCGTGTTACAGCCCTGGAGCGGGAGGTCGATAGATTGACGGAGAAAATAGGTTTTCTTCATTCGGCAATCCCTCAGATTGAAGGGTTTATTTCGAAGATAAGGGTGCCAAAAAGAGACCTCGCCCCCCTCTTTGGAGGGATCACCGCCTGTCTCGGCTGCGGTGGCGGGTCCTTTGGTCGAGGACCGACCAATTATGCTTTCCGATTTGTCGTCCCTTCTGGACCGTCGCTTAAGTGACTGAGGGACGACATATCGATATCAGTAATGACCTCAATTAGGTCGAACTTGCGGGGCGGGCTGGGGCCTCTCTCCTTTTCGGGGAGCGGTTCCCATGCGTGCGCTTCTGTGAGTGCAGTGGTGGAGCGACTGCTCTGGTGACTGACCCCTTGCCCGGGTCTCTGCCTCCTCCTGTTGTGGAGGTTTTGGCGGATGCCTCCGGTCCGGGTCTCTAAGAGGAAGTAAGGCGTCGTCGGCGTGGTTCCGGGCGACTCCACAGGTGGCTAAATGGGCTGGGAGGAGTATCCCAAAAGGAGGAGTTGCGCAAGGAGAAAAAGAGACCCCTATACGCCCCCCGTCTACGGAGTCGGTGATTTCTCTAACGATTAAGGGGGAGCGGGAAAAGACTATGCCTCGGTTTTGTCCGAGGCTAAGTCTAAGATTGATGTAGGGAAACTGGAAATCAGTTCCCTCGTATGCGTAGGGAGTACTGGCAGCATCTTGCTGTCAGTTAAAGGCAAGACTCTTCAGTTAAGGCTGATATTTGTGTCCAAACTCAAGGACGTGTTCCCTTTTTCAGGAGCGGTGAGGATTGGCCGTCCTTCTCGAACGGAGGACGTTCGATTGAGGGGGACGATGCTGTCCTTTAGTAGGCAGGACTCCTTAAGGAAGTCGCATTAGTTGGGGGCTGCAGTGTTGCGGAGCTGACGGCTGGGGAAATTCGTACGTTCCCTAAGTCGGATGTCGGGACGATCTGGATTCGTTGTCCGGCTGGAGTTGCGCGGAGGCTTGTGGCCGGGAAGAAGCTGGCATTGGCGGGGGGATGGGCGACGCTGGATGTGATTCATCTGGCTCGTCGCCCCCTGCAGTGTTATCGGTGCCACGAGTTTGGCCATTCGGCCAATTCTTGTGGGCGCTGATGTGGATCGGAGTGGCCTATGTTATCGGTGTGGTTGCTCGGGTCATAGGGCGGCTGACTGTGTGGCGCCGCCCCGATGTTTTCTCGTGTGGTTCGAGGGGGAAAACCAGCGGGACACCGCTGCGGGTCGGCTGCATGCGCTCGCGTGCGCGTCCCTCCCAAGAGGCGTCGGGAGGGTACGCCTTCATCTGAACGCGCGCAGGCTCCGGGGCGCCCCGATGGGGGGTCTCCCGTGAGCCCGGAATGGACGGTGGTAGACTGTAGTCGGGGGCGGGGGAAGTCGCGGAGAGGCGGCTCCCCGTCCCGGGCTGCAGTACTGCCCCCGATGTCTAGTGTCGTTTTTGTCCATTGTTGTAGTGAGTAGCGGTGGGATGCGGGGGGTTCCGGGGAGGTTGCCGAAAGGTGACTCCGGGTCTCCCTGCCCCGCCAAGTTCATGTTGTAGGTTGCGGCGATGGGTGATGGAGCGCCGGGGGGGTTGCCGAGAGGTGACCCCGCGGCCTCTTCACCCACGCCAAGTTCATGTTGTTCCTAGTTATTGTCCTTTGTCATAGGTGGGAGTAACAACCCTCCCACCTTTATTGTGGTTGGCCATAGCGCCTTGTTGTGGGCTCCCTTGGGGGCTGGGCCTGTGGCCCTTACTATGTATCAATGTGGTTTGTGTACATGTTTCGTGCACGTTATGTACTGTAATCGTCCTGTGACGTCTAAGTGTGGGGTGGACGGCTGCGGCCGTCTCACTGATCGGGTTGGCAGAGAGAGGGGTGGGGGCCCGCTCTCATTGCACGTCGACCCTGGGAAGTCCGGGGGGAGCTAGTAGCCCGGCTCCCCTCGATGCCCTTTCGGGGCAAGGGATGTCCTCTCCGGGGGGATACCTGTAGTGTCCTCTCGGGGGATGTGTCCTTCCTAAAGGACGCCGGTCGGGTGTCCACCGTGAAGTTATGCTAACGCGGTTCCGCGGTGGACAGTACCCATACGACCAGGGGCTTCAGTCAGGTTTTAGGTCGGTCCCCCGCCCGATAGTCCCTCGGGATACTACGGGCGGGAATCCACCACCACAAAGCCTCCGACCCTCCCTCAGGGGTCGGGACGGCGAAGTTTGGTTTAGGCAAATTTCCTGAATTAAAAAAATAAAAAAAAAAAAAAAAAAAGGTTAGGTTAGGTTAGGTTAGGTTAGGTTCCGTCGAGAGACTATGTCCTCGGTACACGTGTACTGAGTGCGCTCTGTACAGTAGCACGTGTAAAGGTGGTTCAAAGTGCATTTTGAATACAAAAACATTATAGAATTATTGTTTGTGGTGCCAAGATTAATGGCAAATGGAGGCAGATCATTTAAACAATTAGTTTGTTTATAATAAGCCATCGAAATACTCACACGTGCTCTGCCTGTCTAGTTACTTTTTGACAGGCAGTTAAACACTTGTTAAGTGAATTAAAAGTGTATTAAAACTGGTTTTTATTATTGCCAGATTGTTTGTTGAGATGAACTACATCATATATATAAATTTTAGACATCTCCGTAAATTACTGCAGATAATATAAGTGAAATTGTGTTGAGACTATCGATGTCTCTCTCTTACTAATAGACTTTTGATAGAAACATATTATCTGGCCCTTAGATAATCACTACATATGTGGAACTATTTTTAATATATTCTCACTAATAATAAGTAGTTTCTATAAAAGTTTGCAGTGCCAGAATTATTTAATTCTGTTAAAACATTAGTTTTCATCATTGACTGTCGCTGTCTCTTTCGCTCCAATGGATATGGAGTAAAAGTTTATGTTCACAGTGATATACACCTTTCTCACGTGGAATATATTTTTGGTGTATTCCTATGGCTAAAAGATATAGTGTGTGAAAATTTTGGTAGTTGAAATTTATTAGTTTACTTATAAATGACTGCTGCAATCTCTGACTAGTGCTATCCTTGTCCCTCTTGGGGCAAAACTGTCAAAGATTTTTGGGCCCCACTGGAGGCTAACTGCTATTTTTCTGAGGGGAGTAGACATTTTATATGTGCTTCTTACATCAGTAAGTTCCTATTCTGTGACTTGAATTAGTTGAAATAACTCTAATTATTGTTTAATTGAATTATTAAATATTAGTCCCTTCCCACTAGATTGAATGCGCTCGCGTGTTCAAGAATGGGTTGGCTACATTGAGTTGGTGTTCGTTGTCAGCCTCTTATTGGCTTCGACATTTATAGTAAGATTCATTTAAAATTGACTTTTAAATATTTAATAATCTGTGCTTAATGCCTTTTATTGGATCATTAATAGTGAATATGTAATTATTTGAGTGCTTAGTATATGACTCATACAGTTCTTTAATATTCTATTGATAAATAGAAGTACAACAATAATAGCACGTGGCAGTCTTTTGACCAAGGCGCATATGTACTGCGCAGTGCGCGCGTGTTCACGAGGGTTGGCAGCTTGCTTGCCAAGTGCTGGCGTAATGTCATTGGCTACAATTAAGGCGCGGATTTTTGATGATTGATCTTTATGTGGTGATATATAATGATATAAGTTGATATGGTTAAGCATAAACTAAACTTAACTAATTAAACAATAATTAAACAATAATTGAATTAATCTTAATCTTGAGGAATATTAAATATATAAAATATATAGTTCATAAAGAATTAATGTACTGTGAAATAATTATAATTATAATTATAATTATAATATGAACTGTTTTAATGAGACATTTAATTACATTAGTTAAATGAGATATTAGTTACTTGGTTAAACTAAGATGAATTAAGTGAACCAGAAACTTACTTATTTGAAAGGATTTATTGGAAGTTAATTCTTAATACACTAAAATAATAGAAGATTAGGATGCATTTAATGGTTGTGTTGTGTTGATTCTGATAATTCTTCTGAAACAAATTGGAACCTATTATAGGCATATTTATATACATTGTGTGGAAGAAAATATATTATGTGAATCAATCTCCTTGAACAATCGAAAATAGGAGATAGTTTGCAACTTAACTCATAATTTTTGGAGGTCCAAAACATATGTTACTTCTGTGCAAAGTAAAGTAGTGTCTTGCACATTGATTACTGTTTTGGATGACTTGTGTACGGATTTTACGACATAGTTCTCTCAACAACTCTGAAAATGAAAATAAAATAAATTAAATAAATAACTAGCATTAATATCTAAGAATTATACATTACTATCGAGAACAATATATTCGAACTATTAAAATAGGATAAGTAAATAATTTACTTGAGTAATTTATATGCATACGTGTGTATTAATTGCGGATAAACTTGATTTATGTGACGTGTCATCTCAAGATGGAAATAGGTTGCAGACTTTTGAGTGGTTGCAGGATCTTTCTTCTTCTTCCTTCATATGCAATACATGATTATTATTTTCAAGAATGAGATAAATGACTTACTTGAGTGTTTTGTTTAACTTGTGCATTGAACAATGCTGAAAATAAAATGAGATAGCATTAATATTTAATATTATGCGATGCACTAGTGAACTATTTGAACATTATTAAGTTTGAAATTATAATAAGTAAGATAACTTATATACACACGGACTTCCTCGTATAACATATGCTAAATGCACATTAAGTGCGTGGACAAACTTATAAAGAAATAGTTTAATTAATTAAATGACATACGTCATACAAGGTCTATAACTTTATATATATACATATACATATTTTGTGTGAATAATAAGATCTACACTATCGTGAACAATCTATTTGAACTATAAATAGGATAAATAACTAACTTGAGCATTTATAAGGATAAAAGAAAGATTATTCTTTTCTTTCTCCTCATTAATTTTGCCTGTGATGGACTTCGATGCATTATCTTAACGACTCTGAGAAGGAAAAATAAAATAAACTAGCATTATATTGTGCATTGCATTGGGTTTACTACTTGAACATTCAAATGTTAAACTCACAATAAGTATAGTATAATTTATATACGTACGTGTGTATTAATTGCTGATAAACTTGATTATGTGACGTGTCATCTCAAGATGGAAATAGGTTGCAGACTTTTGAGTGGTTGCAGGATCTTTCTTCTTCTTCTTCCTTTTATATGCAGCATATGAATGTTTTCAAGAATGAGATAAATGACTTACTTGAGTGTTTTGTTTAACTTATGCATTGAACAACACTGAAAAATAAAATGAAATAGCATTAATATTTAATATTATGCGATGCACTAGTGTACTATTTGGACATTATTAAGTGTTGAAGTTATAATAAGTAAGATAACTTATATACACACGGACTTCCTCGTATAACATATGCTAAATGCATATTAAGTGCGTGGACAAACTTATAAAGAAATAGTTTAATTAATTAAATGAAATACGTCATACAAGGTCTATAACTTTATATATATATACATATACATATTTTGTGTGAATAATAAGATCTACACTATCGTGAACAACCTATTTGAACTATTAAATAGGATAAATAACTAACCTGAGCATTTATAAGGATAAAAGAATGATTATTCTTCTCTTCCTCCTCATTAAATATTGAAGGAACTATATATAGGCTGTAATTGTGCTCCGGTGTGGTATCCTGAAATAAACCAGAAACTTTAGCATATTAATATATGGTTTATAACTAAGTGTTAGATTATAAATATTTCTACAGTATCGAGAACATTACAATATTTGAATTTAAAATAAATAAAATAGGATAAGTTTACTCTCTTGTTTACTTATTGAATTAACTTTGTTAAGAATACTGACTGGAATTTAATATCATGTGTCATATTATATTATATGCTTGATACATACTAAGTGCGTCGACAAATTTACAAGGAAGCTGATTGAACTAAATAATTGATATATGTTACGCAAGACATGTGTGATAAGTGACTGTTGGAGCGGAGGATGTACATCTGTCACTGAAGGATGATTAATGGCCCCGTTGATGCATTTGGAATCGTGTCAGAGGTCATGGTGTCCTGATTGAATGGAATTGCTGTCCTCCCTGGGATTGACTTGCAGGCTATGAGGTGGAGTTCTCTTTAAGTACTGTGCTGAAAATATAAGATAAGTGAAATTAATAACTGTTGTGAAGTGTAATTTAACTTCAGGCTATTTCACTATAACTTATTTTAGCTTACAATTATACTATTCAGATTAAACTAATAATATATCATGTACTGTAATTGGTGAATTATCTGGACTTCATTAAGAACTGAATTTAAACTTAATCTAATTTAAAGTTAAATATAAGATAACTTATATTCAGAAAACGTGAGTGTTAATTGATGATTGACAATAAATCATAATTTCTTGTGAATGTGTCATATGTAAATGGAAATAGCCTGACAGTTTGCCATGTTCGGATGCAGGGTTTTCCTTTTATGGACACTGCTGTTTATGTACTAATATTAGACGACATTGAATTTGCTAGTCGTTTATGAATAATTAGTGGAATATACTATCATATGATATATGTTGAAATTTCACTAAGTGAGTAGACAATAATTAATAATTGACACATATGACAATTGGATCTGCTTGTGTATATTGTCATCTGAGGGTGAATAATGGCTCCATTGATGCATCTTGTCTCAGAGGTTTTGATGCCCAGTATGTATGGAACATGCTGTGTCCTTTGGGATTAGATCACAGATTATGAGTATTATGTGGAGTCTTCATCATCGAGGCATTTACTGAAATATAAAATAAATGAAAGTTATTAACTACGATATGAAGTGTATAAAAGAACATTTATAGTATAAGCTAATTCAGGCTGTTATAACTTTATAACCTTATAACTTTATACACTTTACAAATTACAATATTAGATTAGATTAATTTAGAATAGTAAGAAAGTTAGTTTTTAAGTAATATATGAGAATCTATTATCATCATCATATATAATTAGACGATATATAACTTGTTAAATACAAGCTAATTCAGGCTGTTATAACTTTATAAATTTTATAAACTTTATAAATTACAATATTTAGATTAATTTAGAATAGTAAGAAAGTTAGTTTATATAATATATGAGAATCTATTATCATATATAATTAGACGATATACAACTTGTAGAAGGACTTGAATGCTTTGTTATAATTAGTATGTCAGGATGTTGGAATGAGTGTGTGATTATGTGGTCACATACTTTTCTGCTCTGAAGTTGTGCGGTTGCTTTATCAATTGAATTATGCATTTTTAGATGTTAAATTAAAATAACACAACATTTAAGTTATAAATATAATAAGTTGAAAGATGACTGTCTTTAAACTTTATAAATAGACATCCTAACATCTTTGTGCTATTAATACTAAGATATATAAACAAAACAATGTTGATAAATCAATCAATTTTAATTTAATTTGATTGATTTTGGATAAAGTAAATATAAATCCCTGTGCGTAAGGTAACACGAACTTGATGTCGAAGACATTACTTTCCCAGAGAGTTAATTGAGCATCACATTTATGCTTGAAACTGTAGTGCTTTCTCTTCTTTATGCTGTGTGAATTTTGTGATTTTTTCATATGCTTATGATTTTCTGGAACACATAAAGAGAGAGTATATGAGTTTATAAATAACCTCACAAAGTATGATACTTACAAAAGTCTTTTTCATAAATGCTATATAGATAGCTGATCTGCTGGGACTATCAAGATTAATCTAACTCAATTTATTAATAATCAATGATCTCAAAACCTATATCTGTCATATTACTGAATATAGCTTGATTTCGTACTTTGGGAACAATATTTACATACTTATTATTACTTACGACATTGTGTAGCTATTCTGGGCTGCTTATATAATCTTTCTATGTCAATACATAATCTCGCTGCTTATTTATACATCTAATGTCATCATGCTGTCAAATGACATATTAAGTAAGTGAGGTTATGGACTCTCTCTTGGGAATAATTCTCTCTCGGAATATTATTAACGTTGCAAACGGACATCGACGCGCCATCTGTGGATGAATGTTTGTACCTTGATGTCAAGCGTGATCAATCATAAACCTCTATATAGATGTGTAACTCAGTGCACCTTACCAATAAGTTACTAGATCTAGGAAAACCTCGCTAAACTTGTCAATACTGAGTTTTACTTACTTTTAAATGATATTAAGGTGTTTTTATATACAAAAACATTATTTACCTACATAATTGAACTAATTTTACTAAAAATCCGTGAAAACTTGTCAAACTGGATAAATTCAAGTTTACGATAATTTTACATTATAATCATTATTTGCGTGTGAATTGGACAAGTTTAGCGGGGAATTGGCACTGGCACCATACACGTACACATTGTTTATGAGTATAGAGTGTACGAGGCTATTTTTCTTAAAAACTGTGTTCTACTTAAACAAATAAGTAAGCAATGTGAACCAACATAATAGGCGTGTCTCTATGGCTGTTTTCGCGACATGCCTTAAAACTAATACAATTTACTATTATTTATCGTAAATAAGACATTGATTGATATTGTCGCGTGGACCCCTGGTGTTGTATTAACACTGAGGGAGTCCTTGTAGATTTCTAATACTAATTGCAATGAATAATTGCATTATATTGTCAAATGTTGACCAATCACTAACAATAATATAGATAGGTTGCTCAGTGATCATTACCTGTATCCCCAGGTTACTAGATCTGGGGGAGATTAGCGATTGGACAATTTTTAGTTTTTAGTTTCGTCACTTTTGATGTACATTAAAGTGATGGGAACGCTTTCTACTTAAACAGATGGATAAATCTCATTAATTAGTTATTCTGTGTGTGTCTTTATAAAGTTTCTCATTATATTTCCTTCTTTTAATTGACTAAATATTAAGTGTTAAGTCACTATTACTAATATTGTTATTATGATTTTGATTTGCCTTATTTAGGAAGTGTTCTTATACACGATTTTATTTAGGCCATAACACGATTAGTGTTTTTCTCGCGTATATGATAATTATATGAGTATTTTTGGTATAATAAGTATTTAACATTGACCATTTTGCTGTTCATTTGCGCTCTGAGTCGTGTAGATTTATTAATTACAGATTTCACTAGATGGACTTACATCACGTAAGCTAGTGAAGTCTCTGCAAACGCTATTATATTATATTATTAGGTCACGTATAAACACAATTTTTTCTTTTACATATTATAAGTATGGATGAGTGTTTTGATAATGATTCCTACAATTAAATTTGTTTTCCTGAATTAGTTTTGTCTTATAATTCTGGGATTTGCTAATTCTTCTTATACTTTATCATGCAACAATGTATATAATTTAATTCCTAAGTTGTACGGAATCATGTAACTCTTATTGATACGTGTGTGCGAACAATTATAGTGTTTGTAATATATAATTCCTTTTATGTTAAACATATTTCCATCGTTCTTTATCAATTATAACATAATTACGTTATCATTGTCATTTGATTAATCCATTTCTGCCTAATTACTGATGTGACTTACTACCTGTTCTTTCCTAAATAAAGGCAAGTGCATAGAAGCAGAACTCTATATTTGCGTGTAACTCTCTTGCCTGCTGAAACATCTTATGCATGATCCCTCCTCGTTTTTCGAGGATTGGGTTTCGTGGCAATTGCGGGTTTGTGGCTCTCTTGGCGAACATTGGGAGTCCCGGTTGTTGCATTTGTAACAACTTAGGGATCTCTGTAGTTTGCTCAATTGCTGCAATTCTGAGAGAGTGATACATGCGCAACCGTTCTCTCGCATCTACTTGAACATTATTTGATATTAATTATGGATCGATTAGTTGCATTCAAATAGGTTGATTTTTGTTCAGTATTGTTTAGTACTTTTCTTCTTAATTGGATATATAGCTTATGAGTTTGCTAATTATTCAAGAGCTGACTTTAATGGTTGATTAGTTTATTCATTTAGTTTAGTTCTGCGTTTAACATTGCTTATTTTGCTTTGCTTACTGCTCTACTTTTAGTGCTATTAATATACTGCGTCTTGAATTTATGTCAACTATTACTTAAAATGGCCACTGCTGAAGATATTCTGCGCGAGCTATCTGATGCGAGTCTTTCTCCTTCTAAAGTGTTAAATATAGCCACCAAAGCTATAAGTGCTTCCGAGCAGGATTATTTGGACAACAAAAGAACGGATCCTCGCCCGAGACTCAGACTTATCGAGGCATGCATTCGATTGATTTTCAATGAAGGCCACAAAATGTTTTGCGCCAGATCTTTTCTCCTTGGCAGACTGGCTAAAATTGAGGCAGTTTACAACAATAACTGCAATAACAACAATACCTATAATAGTGTTACTCGTGGAGTGACCACTGAATTGGAGACCCCAAATTTAAGTAGACTGAGCCTACCTCCACTTTCGGATTCTGGACTACTAAACGTTACTGTTAATACATTGGAGCCTTCTATTGTTTGGTTATCTGATCTGACTACTCTCGTCGAGTTTGATAGGTCTGAGCAGGACATCCTGTCTAACATGGCTGGCCCGATAGGTAAAAAGAAAATAGCCTTGGACGAGCTGGACAGAAGGATTGAGATCACAACTCATGAATTGTCACTGTCTCATCACCAACGAGCTCAGTCTGCTTTACCGGACGGATTTAACTTATCACGAACTGGCTTGCCCTCGGACTACGAGAAAATGGGAGGAAAACCCATTAAAAAATCACAATCTTATACAAAAATGGCAGACACAAAGGTAAACGATATAAACTTACCATCGCAGGAGGAAGTCGGAGCCTCCAGCGATCGGCTTGGCGGTGTTGTCGTCCCCGGCACCGTCTCGTCGTTATCTAGCGAGGGGCTAACTCGGATGTCTCCGGTGGGCGTCCGAGTAGAAATGACTACCACCGAAGATTATGAATTTATACGTGCTCCGTCATTGGAGGAGGACCCTTTAGGGAGTTTGCCCTCTGAGCTCGATCAGGAGACCATCAGGATGCAGGAAAATATGGAGATCGAAGATATAGTTGGTGATATTACTCGGATTCCTGGCCCTTCTGCACCCAAGAGGAAAGCGGACGGGTCTCCGGAGGAGAGGGGTGTCCCTTCTAAAAGTAGGTTTGTTGAGGACGAGGTTCGATCGGAGATCAACTGTGTTCGACTGGTGACCAACAATGAGGAACCGTTTCCTGATCCTGCAAAGGCGAGAAGTAGCGCCTCTCCCGAGGATCTTAAGGTGCGTAGGACCAGCGATAGGCTGAAGGTTCCTGCAGCCGATAAGTTTGAAAAGCTGAGGAAGGAGCGTGAGGAGAAAGCCAGAAGGTGCCGTAAAACGGTGGGGAAGACTGATACAAAATTCTTCGAGGATTCTCCTTCCTCCTCATCAAACAGTAAAGATGACAGCTTTCTTAGTCAGAAATCTACCAGATCCACAAGATCTACTAGTAAAAGGTCAGATTTGATAACTGAAAACAGGCAAAGTGCTGAGCTAGCCCTAGAAGCGGATCGTACCAAGGTCAAATCTAAGAGAAGACTCACAGCTAAAGCCATCAGAAGAAGTATAACAGCTGTAACTGAAGTACAATTGGAAAACGAGCTCAACTATAATAGAGAGGGATGGCTTGAATACTCCGGCAACGAATTATGTGCTCGCAGTCTTGACTACCTGCATGAACTTGATAAACAGTGGCAGGTGTCTACTAACATCGCCGGTTTCGTTAAGTCTAAGATGAAAAAATATAACAAAGTCGTTTCTGATATCGTTAGAGTTATGTCAGAAAAAATTGATGCTTGTGGAGATCCGATTAGGCTTAAGAAAGAGAATACAAATCTTAATGACCGCATTAAGGAGATGGAACGTACGGAATTGAGGAACAAAAAAGAAATTGAGAACCTCTACAGCAAGATGAATGAATTAAGAAAGGAGATCAGAGATCTTAAAGAAAATTTCAAGTCCTCCTCGACGAGGAATATAAAAGATTCCTCCGACTATAGGAACGAGAGGAGTGTTCATCGGAAGACATTGGATTGTGATGTCTTTCCATCCTTGCCTGGCCCTTCGAGGGAGTCTCGGGATGGCAACGACTGGTCTAGCGGCAGAAATTTATTTCCATGGAAAGGGCCTGAGAGGGCGCCGAGACTGACTACTGGAAGGGAGCCTGAGGGGGGGAAGGGTAGTAAACGACCCTCTGAATCGACCCCTATTTCGAGCAAGGGCATTAAGATCATTAGCGATGTTCAGCTGATTCCTCCTTTTCCTGCTACTTCGGGAGGTCACTCATCTGACCCTGGCCGCTCTGACAAATCCAGTGGTAAATGGCAGACTGTGGGCAGGGACAACAAACCAGTTAAACCCCATCATGGTGGCAATCCCCAGCGTGGGAGAGCGGCTCCACGGTTCCCGATGACTTCTGAGTCTGATGCTGGCCCATCGGCAAAGAAAATTAATCGAAATAACAGAACTAGCAACATCAGGATTATGAGAAGGAGACTAGCGAGACCTGCTGTTGTCACTATTAATAGCAAAAAGGATGACATCTCTAACCCTGAGCTATTACGACGAGCCAAACAAGCTGTCTCGCTTGATCAGCTCGGCATCAAGAGTGCCAAGATTCGCACTGCAATCAATGGCGGCATAGTGATTGAGATCCCAGGCCCTCAAGGTAATGAACTTGCTGGGTTGTTACGCACTAAAATTGAAGAGGTCCTGAAAAATGATGCCAAAGTGGCTAACCCGGTTGAGATGGGTGAGTTGCGCATCCGTGGTATCGACCATGCAACCTCAAGTGAAGAAATTCGCGAGGAATTGGCTAATATTAGCGACTGCCACAAGGACTACTTTAAAATGAGCGGCATTAATCGAATGCGTGATGGCCTCGGTGCTGTTTGGGTCCGCTGTCCGATAAATGTGGCCCTAAAGATAGCTGAGGAGGGCTCACTTATGCTGGGGTGGACAAGAGTCAAGGTGGATCTGCTGCATAAGCGTCCTGTGCAGTGTTTCCGCTGT